AGCCATTCTCGAGTTGCTCGTAGAGCATGAAAAGAGAATAAAAATGCACGACGTGTCGATTGCGCAACTAATGTCTCTCTTAAAACAGTGTCTTAGTTGTTCAATCTTTAGGTGGTCTGGAAAATATTTTGCACAAATTAGAGGGTTGGCGATGTGGCAGCGTTTAGCTCCAAGCCTTGCCATCGCTTTCATGTCTAAGGTGGAAGCTCCAGTTCTCGATCACCGACCCTTACTCTACTGTTGATTCATAGACAACTGTTTCATCGTCTGTTCCACACAAGAACAGATGGATGAGTGCTTTGAATTATGAAACCGACAGTCAGAGTATATAAAACTTACACGAGAAAAACCTACCGAGAACTGGCTTCCATTCTTAAACATCCAAACAAAGCTCTCAGTAACTGGCCTAGTTGACTGCCTCTCCTCTCATCCTTCACACATGAAAAAAGCACTTATCAAAAATATGTATCGTACGGCTAAAAATGTGTGTACAGGAGAAGAGGAAAGGAAGGAATCGCAAGACCTGGCACGAAAAATTGCCATTTCCAATGGCTACGAAGTAGAAGCCACTCGGGTTAGAGGAAAACGTTGGGTAGTTTCCCAAAATAATATTTCAGATGAAAGTAGGATCCCCTTCAAGCCGCCTTTGATATCAAATGAAGTAGGTCACGCCATTAAAAAGGGTTTAAGAAAAAGTGGTCTTGAAAATTATGTAACGATTACTGACATCCAACCCAATACCCTACGCGGCCAGTTAGTTCGAAACCGTCTCTATGATCGTTTGTGCAGCTCAGAAAACTGTATGATCTGTCCCAACGGGAGAGACGGGGATTGCATGAGTTTAGGTATAACATACTTGATCTCATGTAATGCATGCGGCGAGGAATATATCGGGGAAACGGGTAGACCACTTTGTGTCCGCATAAAAGAACATCTGGATGGAAGAGCTAAAATTCGTTTAAACACCCCTCTAGGTACGCATAGGGCACAAAAGCACAACGGCGATGATTTTGAAGTGAATGTGCGGATCCTGGCGCAGGAATCAAAAACATCAACGCGCAAAACTCTTGAGGCGTTTTGGATAAATTTCAAAAATCCAAAGATGAACCCGAAGGACGAATGCCTCACTATCACACGTGACCTGGCGCCCTATTTCAAAATGATATTTTGACCCGGGGTGTGTCTTGCTCGCGACTCCACGTGAATTACGTGTGGGCCAGTCCCGCACGTTACATCACGGTGCGTGGCCTTTCTGTTCAATATGGCGTCTATTTGAATGTTTGATCTTCATTAATGCTTTAACCTTCTTTTCCACCGAATAATTAAAAGTATTCTAACACAAAGTACGTCCAGGCTCTGAGGAAGGCGAAATCGCCGAAACGTCAGCCATCGATCAATAACATCAAAAACAACGATAACGACAATGAAGATCTGTACCAACCTCGCGTCAGCTTAGGATCAGTTTATAAGATCACATAAATAAATATATCAACTATCTATGCCGAGGTTTATAGAAAGTCGGTCTTTCGAGTTTCTAATATCATTCGTTTTGAAATCTCGTAGCCCGTAGCTTTCTCGAGTCACCTTTCATTTACAGAGATTCTTCGTAAGCATGGGCTTCCGTTTGTCTGTTAAACTCGAAAGAAAACGCTGAAAGCCAACTGAAAGAAGAGGGGAAATCAAGAGAAGACGTCCGCAGCTCATTTACGATTCATGGCAAAATAACCACGAAGACAACCAATACGATAACCATAAGAGTGCTGAGAGATGAGCAAAACTTGGGACACCTTTTGGACTTTGATCCGGTGATTACCCTTTCCGGAGGCGCAGGTACTATCTAGAACACCGACGGAGGCCTTTGCCTTTCCTGTCAGTGCTAGCATCAATCACTCTTCAACGGGAATCAAAGCTGCTGATTTTTGCTCCCCGGATCATTCTCACACCTATTCTAGAGCACCCTAGACCACTGCTCTGCACACGCCCACTGTTTGCCTATAGGAATCACCTGTAACACTTGTTAATCCGCTGATAATCTAATCGCTAGAAGAACGTGAAGACCACTGCACTTTTCGTACCAGGCTCTTCTTCTTTATCGTATAAGAGGAAAAGCCAGGTTGCGGTGAAGGACAAATAGTCGACCTTCTCTTGTATTTGCAGTCCCGTCGTGTTTTCGTCTCTTCGTTTTATTCTACGAGCACTGCCTTTGCTCCGTTGGTACTCTTAAAAAGACGATGATTTGGTCAAAATTTCAAAAAAATTCACACAAATATGACCTTTCCTCACCAATTCAAGCTCAGCATTTTATATTTTCCGAGACTCAAGCTTTGTCAGAAAGTGGATCTAATACCATGAACAGTTTAAGTGAAAAGCTGACCACGAGACACGGAATTGGTGAACGCTTACGAGAAGATATGGTTCTGGTGGAGGTGTTCAACCCAGCGGATCCACCTTATCATCGTATGCATCTGGGACCTTCCAGGTCCTATGACTTAAATTAATCCCTTGCATTTGATTCTAGCCGTAGAATACCAGTTCTTTTGCTCGCAAAGTGCTATCTGAGTGGGTTGACAACTACTAGTCAATCGTAATCATGCTGAGATTTTTTCAAAATTAAAACTCAGGCCAGATTCGAACCTCCGATTATGGGGACTCACGTGTTACCCACTGTACCATTCAGACTCTTACTTTGCCTTTCTCTTAGCCAAGTTGTTACCCCAATGGTGCCATTGGAAAACAATCTATCAATCGTCTACTGTTCAATCTGGCACAGATCGTTCTTTCTATGCAAGAGTAAGAAGCCGTACTGCTGAATTTCCCAGGACTTAAAATCTGTCCCTTCTCTTAGTTTCTCTTTCAATTCGGAGGGTTGAAATTTAAGCATGAATCGAAAAGATGACCATATTGTGCAGTACAGATGAAATGACGTGCACGTATGCTACGAATGGCTTAATATAAGTAGTGAAAAATAGGTGATTTGAATGCGGTAGCGATTTCATTCCTAGATATTTTCCAACTTTGTTTCTATTAATTTCGTATCCTGCTTTTCCTTTCATTCTCTACGTCTTTCAAACAATTCTGTGTAATAACATAACCTTCTTCGGAATGCATTTCATGATGATATCTTCTTGGGAGACTACGATTCAATAAAATGTCATTAAGAAGATGAAGTGTTTACGGAACCCAAAAATTACTCTCGATTTTGAGAAGACGGAATGACTGGACTCGTCACTAATGAGAAAAGGTGTCCAGAGAGCCAAAATGCTGTGCACTGGCTGCTTTACCTCAAGATATCCTAGTCATCGAAACGGTTGTCGGTTTCATTGTCATCCTCATATTGTTACTTAGCGTTGCGACGAAGTCGTTCGTTTGCCATGCTGCTGATATGACAGAAGTTAAAAGTGTATAGCATCTTACCGTTTTTTAAAAATAACTTTTCCCTCCCTACTGACCTCCATTTTCTCGTCTTATAATTCATAAATATTTATGTCTGCTGAATCAATAGTGCTTAAGAAGTTAGCTGGATATGAACCTGCTGGATTTTCGACAGCAGGTGATAATTCTCCGGTAGCCAGATGATCTAAGGGTTGAGAGTATAATAGTATTATCGAGAAGACTTTGCTATATCGTTGTATGGATATACGTGGCATATTACTACTTCCAAAGGAGCATGCTACTACTTACTGCATATTACTATGGTCGACAATAAATCTACATTACACTCAGAATTTGGAAGTGTTTTGCGGCCCATCTTGTGTCTTTTCCGCACATTCTGGACTCGCCAATTCCGCACGATAGCTAAGATTCATTGCAGTAACAAGAAATGAAATAACTGTCAAGCATCGGTCAGGTTGCCTGTCAATGAATTCGTCCGAAAGAATGGTTTTAGGTAAATTATTGAGCGCACGGGTGTTTTCCATGGGCTACGCGTGGGTTTACGTCTGTGTTGGATATGATACAGATTGAATATTGTAGAAAAAAATTCTGTGCATTATAGAAAGCACCATAAAGCAAATGGTTTTATAAATGACTTTTATTAAGATCGCGTCGGCCATTGTGTTCCCCAAAAATCACACAGTGGTCACGTTATCGTTTAACTACGCATCGTAGAATGCTTGGAGCGTAAAACTAACTGCAGTGGCGCGAGTGCCACTTCTATAAACACCTCACTAATAATGACCAAAGAAATTTTCAATAACTTGAATGCTGCTAAAAATACCTTCAGGAGATTCTTGGCCTCTAGAAAGCTTGAACCTTGCTGCTACTAAATTAAGAAATCACAGACGCTTTTGAGGGAATTATAGGGGACCAAATTAATTAACGGATGGCAGGTGATGCATGTAGCAGGTGATAAGTGTGACATATTTTCATTACATTCATAGCAGTTGATACCAGAATTCTAAACAGAAGTCAAAGCCTTAGGTCTCATCCACTTAGTAAAGTTTATTCCTGTTGTCAAAAGTGTAGTTGATCTCAGCAACGTCATCACAATGAAATTTTTCGTCCTAAGAGAGTTATGCGGATATCTAATTTAGTATGGGTTAATAATGAATTCTCGCATAAATCCCCGCTCTTGAAACCGCTCTTCTTTCCCTCATTGTGACAAATTCGGTTGGTTATTTCCAGCAAACATATACGTGTGATTCACATGAGGTTATATTCTCTGACGATGAAGCCGATCACCTAATTTTTATCATCAGCGAGATTTTGTTTACAGGGTCTTCGAATAGGCTTCTGCCTTGGAAACATCCAATTTCTTACACTCTACATTTCTCCTCCAGTGCCTATGCTGTCGTTCCACAAATACGTTATTACTGATTATCGCTGCCCAATATCGTTCCGATGAATATCCTGCTATTAGCTAACAGGCAGCTTTTCTCACAGTCATAAATATAGGTCTTATTGTTTTCGTCTAGAAATCATGCTTGCTGTTTACATCGAAAGAACATTTGACGTAAATATGCCACTACATTAAGATCGCGATAGCTTGCCGCTAAAGTGGGATGGCTGTCAAAGTTTCCTATCTGGTCGTAGACATCGTAATTGTTTCGCTTCAACTCACGGTGATCATCTGCAATGGATTCATCCTCTTCTTGCATAGCAGGTAGACCTAGCAATGGAACGTTTCGATATTCGTAATCCTTTGGTTTTTTGAAGGGGTATTTCTTTGAACTTGAAATATCTCGATTCAATATTTCTTCTTCTTAAAGGGAGAAGAGCCTTCACCAAAATTCCTCTGGGCTATTGGTGTTATTTCTTACGACTACTGACTTCCTTCATGCCGTGACAAGTAAGTCATTTTCCTTCGTGTTAAGAAGAAAAACAAGGACATCATTACCAGCACATTTTTTCAGCTCTTCCGTACACTATTTATCTCACATGTAATTGGAATCCAGTCTATCTAGATCTAAGCCCATATTATGTAATGATCTCCAGTACTCCTTTAACTGTTCAACTGAAGATTAACCTTTGCTTAACCATTTCTATTGCAGTGGAGAGAACTTTGGTAAGATATTTCTTAAAAATGGGCTACCTACCCTTATAAGATCATTCAGGCCCTATTCTTTCCAATCATCTTCCGCAAGCTTTCCTCTCGCACATATGCAATCTTCTCCTTATTCGTTGGATTTTTGTTAGCAGTACTGGATGTCGTTGTGGAATTTCTACTCTCGCCTTTCAATAGTGTTCCCAACTGCGCCACTATCGGATGTTTTCTGAGCGATAGTTTCCGTTACTATTGGGGAATCAGCAACATGGTGACCAATTTTTTTTCTTAAAGCTGTCTAAATATCTTCTAAATATGCAAGTTTAGTTGATGGGCATTGTTGTTATTGTTTTGATAACCTCAATTCTCACGAAACTACGAACTCTTCGCCAGCAGCCACATCCGCATGGAACTGTGAAGTCAAAAGGAAACAAATTCAGACAGGTACCACCATCATTGGAAATGTGCTGCCTTAAAACTTGTCGAATTTAGGCCAATCGTAGCAGTGTAGGAATCTTAATAATATCTTTGGTATTCGTCACTCTTCCAAGTGTGGGAGCTGGTCTAGTTGAAATAACTGGCTTCTCAATTTTCACTTCTGTTGGTCCATTCTACATTGTTGGATTGCTTTGCGGTGGTGTGTCCTAATAGGATCACATTTGCGAACATGTATTGTCAAAGTGACTACCACAATTCTATATTTTAGGGGCTTGCAACAGCGTTACATATCTCGCCCTAAGTAAGGAAATGCAGCTGGTAGCAAAGGGATGTCTTGCGGGTAGACGACTGTCGACAGTCACGACAGTGTCCACCATTAAAGCCTTCTCGACAGGTGGAAGATAATCTGTTGTTCTTTAGCTAACTATATTCCACTAAATACAAATCTAAAGGAAAGATTTTGTTTTTGATCGGAAATTAGGTTGAACAGCGATGATTTGTACAAGAAAGGGGATAGAAGGCGAGGCATTAAAGCTCAAAAAAGCAAGAGAAAGATTGCATTCAGGAAACGTATAAGAATAATCTAAACATCTCGAAGGAGACCAGATTCTTGGAAAACATCGTACGAAGAAAAGGGAAAAGAATTGAAGTGGTTGCTTTTGCGACCGCAAAGGTCACGCTTTGACGCAGCACTGGATACATTTTGCACAAAAACGAAATAAGATGATTGAAAAATAGTGCGTCCTCTTAGTGAAAAACCATAAGAAGAAAAAAGTATCCAGAATGGCAGAACAATTTTCTCTACAACGCTGAGAATATTCTCCCACCTTTCCATACAATCACAAGATTACTACATTGACGGTGCACCGTTCTGTATGCTACAGTCGTTTCCAATACGTTATAAAACGATAATGCACCAGTAACACTTGAACTGTACAAGATGATGGTTATCGCTGTATGACGGTACACTTTTATTTATTCATAGTCTCTAGTGATCTTCCATAGAGACTCCACGATCACATGCTACATCGATCGCATAACCTTCTAGAGCTATCCACCATGCCATATGTTTCATAGAAAATCAGCGATGGACTTCGAGATCACCCAACGGCACGACTTATGTGGAGGCCGACCATATTTTCATAAACAGAACATGGTGCCTCTTTGACAACTCTGTGGTATTTGGATTTTGTACTGTGTCGAATCACTGCCCTGCCTATGCAAAGATTCTACTCAGCTATATGCGAAAAACATCTCTCACCCAAGAAGAGCAAGATGGGTTGTGTACGACAATAATATTCTCAAAAGAATCTCCTTCTCACAGAAATAATAAATAATGGAAGACCTAACCAAGTATAAAAGTTAGATGTGCTTGAGCCGAACTCCCGCAGTTCGTAAAACAAGAAATTCGTATTTCATCTCCATCATTATTAAAGAGTTTCTCGAAAAAAGATGGATAATGAAGCTTGATACTATTGCAGCACACCTAATACGGCTGATAAAAAATGCCGATTGCAAAAGTTCTTTTTAAGAGGATTTACAACAGTTCAAGATTAAAAGTTATTGGAAGAATCTAAACAAAGATCTAGTCCAAATAAGTCCTGTTTCGATCAGCGCTGATTCCACTATAAGTCCTAATAAACGAAGATGGGACTATCACCGAATTCCGCCATGATATGAAGATGCTAACAGAAAGTTCTATGCCTAAGTTTTCTGTTTCACGATCTCCGTTTCGAACTCAGAAATTCCCAATGGAGAAAAACCATCTCGAATTCTTCGCTATGACATTCGAGTTGCGATTGAAAGGATGAAGAAAGGCACATGTCCAGACTCAGGTAGTATTACGGCCTACTTCCATCGAGTCAGAAGTCATAAATCACATATTTTTGTAAAAGTCTCGTCTTCCACATCTAATATGCGGATACCTGAATTTCTTGCATTCGATTCTTTTCTCGCGTTCATCATCCGCAAAAATCTTTCAACTTTCTAAGTGTGGCTTCGGCCATTTATTGGGGATTTTCTCTTTATCATAAATATCGTTGAATGCTGGTCGAGTTGATTCTCCTTGGAATTCTGCAATAAGTGGGTTGGAACGTTCGTCCTTAGACTGTAGAGAGCGAACTTTTCCAGACAAGAACCATACAAATTTCCTGGCTCAGGAGTGATGTCTGGTAAGCGCGGAACGGGATCGAAGGAACACCATGCTAGTGAGGATCGACATCACTACCACTGTGCTATCCACCTTCTAAAGACGTGTGCTTTTCACAATTCATACGATTTCTTACCCTGAAAAAAAGATAATCCCAGACCAATGGACGCTGTCGCACATGGTCATCCTACCTAAGAAAGGTGGACGAAGAGATCTTGGTAACTATTGTACCACACATTTGTTGAATTTGCTCCACAAGCAGTTCACGAAGATTGTCCTACTGCTCATATCAAGGACTTCAGATGGGACACAACCATTGAGCAAGGATTCCAACAAGAATGACATTTCGTAGACCAGATCCAAACCGCCTTTTCGTAACCAATATCGACTATGAAAAAAGTGTTTCACAGTGTCGAAACAATTTAGTCCTATTACCGCGCATCGATGCAAGAGCAAACCCATCTTGCACAAGAACTCTAGCTGACTGCTATCGGAACTGCAGCGTAAAAGCATAGCTTTTCTGAAACCTGAAACACGACTGCGCATAAAGCAGAAGATTCAGTTCATGAGAAACGACGTCGTATGTAGGTGAACAAATCGAATCGGATTCTTTTCTGGCTACAGAAAGCATTTGTACGTTTGCCTTGGCTGTTGAATGAACATGGAGAACAAAATGAAGGACGAATTAGACAAAAGAATGGGAAAACCATGGGCCGCATCTGGACCTCTCAAAGAAGTCAATGACCAACGAATCAACCCAAAACTCTGCGCTCAGCTTTTTGATTTTACAGTCCTCCTAGCGCTCTGTTATACAGTAGACACGTGAGCTGATGATTTAATTCGGTATAGCACCCTAAGAACGCTTCGACGATGTTTTCCGAAATTTAACTGGCGTAAGAAAAACATCCAGCTGGAATTCACAATTCGGATCTTCGAATCCTATCCCATCTTCGAAATCCTGGACAGCACACATGAATAACGAAACAAAGGCGAGCTTGCCATTTACAAAGAAAAACAGATGACAGATGGACGAGAAGAATAGAGGAATAGACACCACAGGTTGCATACACCTTCTCTGGCATCACCCAAACGATAGGTTGACGCGTTCGTGATTAATGTCAACCATCTCTATGTTAATCATTTCAAAGGCAGTTTGTGGAGTCAACTTATGAAAGCAAATATTGAGTTGGCTCAATATAGAGTGGTCGTCTCCGTACGATATTGCCATGTGGCACTTCTTTGCTGCCGCAAACCTATTCTCAAACTTAGGCAGTTAAACACTCTGACATAATACTAATGCATACGTAAAAATAAAATTTTATTAGAAAATTTAGACAGTATCAACGACAAGATGATGCTGAAATCAACAAGCGAAAACAATGTTAAGAAGTTGTATTCAAATGAGAAACCATCCTCTGTAATGCGCTGGTGAAGCAGTATGAAGAACAAGTGTCACATAGAGTACAGTTTAACCAAGAAGCATAAGAAGCAAGTGATAGCGCAGGAAGAAATGGGGCCACATTGGTAGTAGCGAATCCGAAACAGCGAAATGTATTACACCAAATATTTTCGCATGAATACAGATGATAACGTTTTAGGATTAGATATTACAAAGCGTCTGTCAACCACTGGTTTTTCAAGTGTGCAGATACAAGAATACGAAGACGTTACAGCCCAATTTCGATTCAGCTGCGAGGAAAGCACATGACATAGCTGGTAGAAAGCATTTTGCAGAAACGCAAAGAAAATGCAGGAAACGATAAAGAACATCCGTTCTTTCTGCAGAATGTCGGTTACGGGTACTGCTTACAACGCAAGAACATGTTGTTAGTTGCAAGTTCAGTTAACATAGGTACCGTAGGACAGTGTGAAAAAAGAGGAACTGTCCGGGAAAATAGTTAATATAATCTGCATCAGTTGATGGAATGCATTTCAGGAACTCGGAATGCGGCTGGCGCAGCTCATCGCGCTCAGAGCAGACCATCAACGAATATGGCACGAGAACGACAAAACGGAAGACAAACGTTCTATGGTGCGCAATACTGGTGAAGAATGGCCACACCGGTACCCAAGTAATCAGTTCTGAATGCATTTCTTCCTATCTCATTTTACACCTCATTATCCATGATTCTTCATAAGTGGGCTGCAATTGTGTGACATTATTTGCTCCATGGGAGCGTGTGGCGCAGTGGTCGGAGGCGCCCTGCAACACACATGTAGAATCGATCCTCATGCCCATTGTCCACCAAGCCTTCCATCCATCCGGGGTCGGAAAATTGGTACTAGACTTGTCTGGGAGAATAGCAACACTTGCTCGATACATCGATAGGCCACCGTTACTCATTTTAAAGGCCAGATATGCATTCAATTACCTCCAACGATACTTAATAAAGTCGAATGCATATCTCAGGGGTCGATAAACGCCGAGAACTTTATCCTTTTATCGTATCAATGTACTTGTGTATGCATAATTTATTCCATAACTTTGTCAATTCAACTTTATTATAACCTTCGCAGTCATTGTTGTAGTTCAGTTCATTACTATACTAGTCCTCTACCACTAATCTAAGCAAGGCTACTTCATATCAGTCATTCCAACCAATCTTATCTTCACAACCACTTACTGTAGCTCCCATCATATCACTTAAACATATGTTCATTTAAGTTCATCACAAGTGCACGATATTCTCCTGTTCCTCCTAGTCACATTGTTATCACTATTTAGTAGTGTCACAAACTCACATGTGCCCTCTATAGTGTGCTAACCTCTTCTACCGGCACTATTGTATTTTTCGTCACACTCATACACCATATCACTCCCTCAGCCTGCGGCTAGCTCGGTCTATCATCTCTAGCTAGCCTCTCATGCTTTACCTTCCTCTCAATGCGCAGCATTAAGCACTGCAGCAGACCCAGTGTTGTTATGAGTATCTCTTTAATTACGTCACACCAGCCTCCATATTACACAACTATGTATTGTACTTACATTTCTAGTCTCATTGAATTGTCATGTAAATATTACGTGTATAAACGGTTTAATTAGACACGTTTGAGGTTCTACGGCACAAACCACTACACGAATAAAAGTGCAGCATTGGAAACTAGGAAAGTAGAGCACTCCAACAACAGTTGGTTGACAGGGGACAAACCCGACCAACTACTCTCTATACTCCACTGGGCCAACCAATACAGCATTGAAGTATCGTTACTCTTTAAGTTAGTTAGTTACTCCTTCATTCTAACATATTTGTTCTACATTGTTAGTTCTCCCTATCTTGTTATTGTTGTGATATTTACATTTAAATGTTCAATTACCAACCCTAGATTTACTCAACAGAAACCCCAAAAAGTTCGGCGCGACAAATCGCAAGAAGCGCAGCATCTTACACTGAACTAATTAATACAATTGTTTTGTCGAATAATTCAATATTCTTGAGCTACCTAAGAGAAAGGGCGCGTGTGGCGCAGTGGTTGGAGGCGCCACTGCGACACACACGTGGAATCGATCCCCGCGCCCATGGCCCCAAGCCTTCCATCCCTCCAGGGTCGGCAAATTGGTACTAGATTTGTCTGGGAGGAGAGCAGCACTGGCTCGATACATCGATAGGCCACCGCGACTCATTTTAAAGGAACTCAATCACATACGATGATTTGTAAAGTAGAATGCATGGCGCATACCTCAGGGGTTGATCAACGCCGACAGCTTTATCCTTTATACCTAAGAAACAAATGGATTAGAAATGGCTTACACAGAATAATAGCAATTTTCCATGGTGAGAGATAGCTGTAACCTAGAGGCATTACAAACTTTCAAACTAAGAGAGAATGTAATACGAATGGTAGCTAACCTTTTACATATGTATGTAATGCGCAGTTTTTTCAATGTATATGATTTCAATATAACATTTTACGCTATTTTTAAAATATTTATAGTAGCCTGCGAGAACAATTTTAGAAGTGGGAAAACGTCCGTGGCTTTCCATCCACATCTCGGAATCTACGTACTCATAACTTTTGAATAAATACACCATTTGAGAACTTAAAAAATTGGCAGACTTATGAAAAGCACTTTTTTGTATCGTTCTGTATTTTCATATTTCTTGGTTCTCTGCATTGTTATGAAATAAATTGGGATCATATGTTGGGCGGATTTTAGCATTTATTCGTTTGCTTCCTCGCATCCATCATCCACAAATGAATTCAGCTTTGTACATGAGTTTGGCAGCTGATGATTTCGGTTCAATGTCGTTTCGGCTAGTTTCTCTTTGGAACCCTGTGTTAACCGTGGTAGAGCTTTAGCCAGGTGTTCACCACACGCATTTGCCAGCTTTTGCGTATAGTAGGCAGATAAGTCTGATACCAATTTGCCTACACTGAAGAAATGGAAAGCTTAGCTGGCCCGCTGCAGAGTTGAACCAAAACCTCGCGCGTAATGAGTGGTATTCCTACCAATGCACTGTTCGCTCCAAAATGTCTGCGCACTTCCTTAAAAGTGCTACTCCTCCTTTACATACGCTTGAAATCCCAACTGTCAAAAATACTAGGGTAGCAAATTTTAAAATGTCAAACGCAAACGCAGAAACGGGAAACCTCAACGAAAGTACTTCAGCGCATCACGAATATCATCATGAAGGTCGCTTATTCCCGAAAAAAATTGTGGGCTTTATTCGGTTGACGAAGTTGCCGAAACCTCTCCATTTTTATATAAAAAATATAGTTCACCATGAGATGAGACATATTTGTTTCAAGCTGAAAGGCTAAATTACTTCCAACCACGTGTGAGTCATATGTTCATGAGCCATGTTTAGCACTGCAGTAAAGTTTTTCCAAACGAACCTTCGATAGTAAAACACCACTCGTTAAGCCGAAGGAAGTGTGGGCACTTCAGAGATATCGTGTTAGATAAATGGCAGATAAAGCTGCTCTTCCTTAAAGCTATGATGAAAGACAAATTCCTTCCCAATGAACCATTACGACTAATGTTACAAACGTTAGCAGCTGAGAGGTTACAATCAGATAAGTGTAAAAAATGCGACATTAAAGGGCTGAAGAGCCTTTCGTAAGGCTCAAGAAAAATGAGGACAGTTATCGTATTCTGCCTCCATATTTGGAATATAGATTTTTCCTGCAATGACGGAATGTTGCACAAAAATCTTAGCGCGTTTGTTATGGCTCAAAGTGTCAATTTAATTCGTACAAACGACTACACTGAAGAACAATTTAACTTCGCAGATTGATGAAATAGTACGGTAACGCAGACTCAGTCTGCTATCCAACCTATCAACCAGCAGGCGTAACAACTCGACTGTTCAGTTACCCTGTCGATCTACGGTACAGCATAGAACGGAAAATCAATGCTTATTACTTTGATGATGCTGAGATATTTGCAAAACTCCCGACCGCAGGTGTCTGCGGTGGGTAACGAACGCGCAATTGTCCTTTCCGGGGAGTAACGCGTTCACCACCACCACACCATGGGGGTCCTTCGTTTCGCCTTTCTCTCAGCTAGTTCTACCGATCTCTGCCATCAGAAATCACCCGTCAGCGGCATTGTTCTGGGGAGCCCAAATAGGCAACGAACCCCAGTTAAGCTGAGGCTGCAGTTATAATCACAATCTTAACCGTTTTATTTACTGCCTATTCTTTTTTAACGGCAGAGTATACATTGCGAAATGTAACTTTAGTGATGCTGAGATATTTGCCTGCTGATAATGCTGATAGCAATCACCTACTGATGGCAAAAGATCGATAGAACTAGCTGAGAGACAGGAGAAACGAAGGACCCGCATGGTGTGGTGGTGAATGCGTTACTCCCCGGAAAGGACGATAGCGCGTTCGTTACCCACCGCAGACACCTGCGGTCCGGAGTTTTGCAAATATCTCAGCATCATTAAAGTTATATTTCGCAATGCCCTGCCGTTAAAAAAGAATAAGCAGTAAATAAAACGGCTAAGATCAATGCCTATTGTCAAGATCAAAGAGATCTTACGAATATCGGCACCTGAGACAAAAGCACAGTATATGAGACAATCACAACAAAATGAGGAAACAGCTGTCACGCTCATAGATACTGAATAAAGTGGCCTGTAGGACTTCAACGCGATCGTGATATATATGCTATCTGTACAGTGTTCAAGACTTAACCGTTGCCTTTACAGACAGATCGTCGACTCGTTATCACTTCTGAATAAAGTAGGCTGCAAAAAGAAGAAAACTCATGTGATTATTGAGGTCTAACCCATCCCTAGTGTGACTTACTGTTTTCCATAGCTCCATTTAAGAACTCCATAGGTAAATGTCCTTTTTATACAACCCAAGGTCACATACTATGCAGATTCCAGCACTTCTTTCATTCGATTCGTTTCTTCTCATCCATCATCCATCAAGGTCTTCACATTTGCGTGTGAGTTCACCAGGTACTTAAGGATTTTCGTCTTCTTTATGAATATACTAGGTCGAGTTGATCCTTCCTGGAATTCTTGGATAGCAGTGCTACAGCAGTCTTCACTAGAGGCAATCGCTAACGTTTGGGGATCGGAGGGTGCTTTTCGCAAAAAAAAATTTGCCATCAGTTTACCGCTCCAGGTAATACGGGGTGCTCGGTTCTTTTAATGTTTCAGTGGTCTCTAAATGTCGAAAAACTTTTAGGGATACTATACATCTCAACCGTTCTACCAATGGACAAGAGGCAATGCAAAGCGCTCGCACTCCACGAAACTTCATATGAAGAAGAAACTGAATGAAAAAATGAGATTTTATAAATGTGGAACGTCCGAAATACTGTGAACGATGAGGCGAAAATTGTAAGGGCGAGCTACTACGCAAACCGTCAGACTACCGAGAACAATCAAATTCAGGGTTCAAACTCTCGGGATCGGTAAGCTCTACAGGTATGATAATTAAGTTGTAGGATTGGTCAGTATGACACCTATGGTGCCATTTTCTTTCCGGAATTCTATTTCAACACAGAGAACTGTTTTCTTACAATTCTTGTAGTCAATCAATAGTTGATATAACGCAGATACTGTGGCGGCGTCGTCTGCGGGCAAGGTGTCTTCTTAACAAATTCTCATTATATATCTATTTATATGTTCTTATGAACTGATCTTGGTGAGCTGAAGCGAAGTTGGTATAAGCCGTCACTGTTGATGTTGTTGTTGTCGTTGTCGTTGATGGTCGATGGTTGACGTTTAGGTGACTTCGCCTTTCCCGGAGTCGTGATGTTGCGAGTGGGACTGCGGACTGGAATTTCTCCTTGACCCTCATTTTGCGGTGAGAGACTGTTACTGTCGAAGAGGGTGTGTGGCTAGAGAGAGTGGCCAGTGAAGAGACGCAGCAATGCCCTTGCCTCCAAGAACTGGCAATGCATGCAGTGGGCAGCACCATTTCTCACAAGCAATTCTCCTCTGACTTTCAACTATTATGACGACTTCTGGGGCAGGCTTTGGTCAAGCTGTTCTCGGGACATCAGGAAACCACAATGGTTAAACCAAAAAATTTCCGGTGAATGGAAATTATGCTGGGGCCCGACAAGCAGTGAAGACTGGCCATTCAAGTATCCAAGTATGATGACTTCTGGGTATCGTACGGAATGAGAGGACACCAAAACCACAAGCTGAACATCGTGATATTCTTTGCAGAACTTATGAAACTTCATTAAATGCTGACTGACAGCAGTACGATTGCGTAGAGGACCAGTGCTTTTTCCTCACACACAAGAGTTACATAAGCATCGGATATATGGGAAGGTGTATAGAAAAAGATGAAGCATAAACGGGATAGGAGAAACGCAGGAATTCTTTAAAAACGGGAAAGGAAATCATAATAAAATGGCGTGGGTTACATAAGAACTGCCGGAGTGGTCGGCGTGATGTCATGGGTGACACCTTGAGCATAACGAAAACTAGGCGTTCTCGTGTCAACTGTGGCTAAGTTGGTGCAATTGCAGACATCAAGGCACAGCTCCTGTCGTTTCCCGACTGTTTGTGTCCGACTGGACGCCACCTTATCTTTTAAGATTCTCGTCGTGGTTGATTGAAAATCGAATATAGGTACTTATTACATTAGCATTTAGGCTGAAGGCAGGTTTTAGTTTTTAATATTCCTATTGTTTTGGTCAGATTTCAGGCTCTTTCGGGAAGCATGGCTAACGACTGGATCCATTGTAATGCCTGTTATCGTCAGCCAGCTCAAGGGATCGTCTTTTTCTTCTCGAGTTGTGGACACATCATCTGCCAGAAGTGCGCATCGGCAGCAGGTATGCAGTCGTGGACCTTTGTGCCAAGACTGGAACTCCCCTATGATATTCGTCTTTATTTATTATTGATTTGTTCTATTTTATCTTTGTCCCCATTTTCTTCTGTGGTGTAAGTACTTAGCCCTTGAAAAGCCATGTTCGTGTCAAAGCTTGGGCAGCAAAAGGGTTAAAACAACTTTAGTGCGAGTTTCAAAGTTATGTTAGGATTTCATCAATAAAACTAAGGATTTTGGTTTTTTATTACAGCGGAATTAAAAGGCTTTCATAAAATCACGCTAAAAGAGCTCGGCTCTGTGTGAAAACCACCATCTTCTATAAGAATCTGTATAGACATTCCCATTTGTGTAGTCAGTTCTTCGCTTATAGTAAGTACTCCTAGAAATCCGGGCTAAGTAATCACACTTCGTCCTGAGTTGTTTCACTGAGAGTGTTCGTGTAATCAGTCCTGACTTTAGGTGTGTTGCAGTTTCCATTGTGTCTGTTGTTTGGTAACTTCCAAACCGATTCAGTTACATGTTCCATTTGGTATTTTTGCAGTTTTTGCTTCATTTTTAGTGTTTTGTAAAGCATTTTTCGAAGTCGATGCGGGTCCACGCTGTTGAGTATTTCCACCCCGAAACCGACCGAGACCTTCGGACGGCTCCTTTGGTCAATCCATTCCTCAACCACTAGTTCCAGAAAGTCCCCCACCAGCCAACCTTTTTCGCAGGAAGTCTTTGACATGAAGCTTGAGAAATGTGTGATCTTTTCTCCGTATCGTTTTCAACTGTGTTCGCTGCTTTGAATCTCTTCAATCCAGTCGTTTTATCGTTTACTATGACATGAATTTTTTTGCAAACTACTTTTTTTTTCTTAATTTTCTATGGGAGTTGTTTCTATCTAGTTAATTCCACAGTAGATAAGGAATCGAGCCCCAGTTTGAATCCTAAGTTTCGTTTCTTTTTTTGCTACTTTTAGTTCAGTTTTTTGCAGACAGGACTAAATTGGAGAGCAGTTGTCCAGTGTGCTGTAGAAAGTGTGCGTTTGTTGAGATTAACAGAAGTCTTCGTCCCGAGTTGCAGGTATAAATTTGAGCCTTAGCACGAGAAAAAGCTCCTGTGCGATTTTCAACTATCAGATGTTCTTTCGTAATCCAAAGGAACTTGCCACACAATATATGAAGAGTCTTTCTCAAGTTCTTGAATTTCAAGGAAGTAATAGGAGCCGTTTTATCAAACACATTGCAGAGAAGGTAAATTTTGTGTTTTCATAGCTACTGACGGGAAGTTTGTGTCTACATTCTATCCATTCTCGAAGGTTTAGGAAAAGAAGGCAACAAAGTTTGCCCACTTAGCCCGTGACGAGATTAAGAGACGCATCGAGTTAGAGAGGCATGTTTTTACAGCGTATTTATCACGTTAAACATGTCATTCTTTCAATTGAGTTTGCCTTACCAAATTTCAGTAAGGCTGTTGAGGAACATGCCCGCCTGAAATGTGAACTGGACATGGAACGCATGCGTTGCCGTGATCTTGAAGCGAAGTTAGTTCTTTACTAGTACACCTTGAGGCTAAAAACAAACAGTTACTTGTAGAATAGCTTTCAGCAGCAGTATTTCATGTTTACTGTTAAATCACTGTTATTTTCCAACGATAGTTTATTTCGTACTTTATCCAGGTTGACAGAAAATGAAAAAAAGATTGAAGAACTGCGAAAAGGCTTTTGTACCCTGCAACCACCGGTTGCACGCTCAGGTAAGAGAATCACTCTTCCTTTCCTTCAACCATTAAATGGCTGTCAGTAGATCCTTGCGAGTGCGTGTGTGTGTGTGTTGCCGCTTTATGTATAGTGAGGAACGACGACGAGTAACGAGTGTGTGTTCTGTTATGGATTCGATTACTTATGAATAGGTTGCTTTAACAAAGAGTAAGTAAGAGCTGCCAGAAAACGAAGATGTTTACTATCATAGCGTTTTTCTTAGTGTTCAACTAAGGTGAAGGGCAGCTCGCTAAAGTTTATTGTTCCACTGAAATCACCTCCCCTGCTTAATTCATCATATTTCTAAAGATCCGCCTTTTTCGATTTCTCGAACCATTTGCTGAAATTTCTTATTGCTAAGTGAAAGAATTCGCCTGTGCGAAAGTCCTTGATGTCTTTTGGGTCAGACTTCATGGGCTTATGTTTCACTTTTAGATTGTTATGGATACTTTCCGATTGATTTAGGACTTGTTGTGTTATTAGGTAAGATATGAAATGAAGGGCAACTGGTGCAGTAAGGGATGAGTCGCCCTCGAGCTGTTCTCGCTTCAATATGATATGATAAAATGTCATTATACGAAATCCCGATGACTGTGAGAGTACGCAGGTGTTCCACCTAACGAATAGAAACTGTATTCGTTCTTCATATGCTGTTTTCACTATATGCTTTGGGAGTAGCTAAATAGATCTCCATTAACTCGTTCAAGAGTACTTGTTTAGTACAGTGGTTACAAAGTTGTCCCTGAAAACCACATGGACGTTCTAGGGCATTTTTAGATATACACCTGCAACTTTGGTACTTGGATGGCCCATCCTCACTGGTTGTGCGGACCGCAGCCTAATCTTCATCTTTTCGGAGTTTTGCTGGTTTAGGTACTGTGGTTCACTGGAGTACCGAGGTCAGCCTGCCCAACGTCTGCCCCAGATCGTCACCACCACAGGCAGTCCTCGCCTTTATAGATCAGAGAGAGATTTGCCTCCAAACGACTTGTTTGATACCAGTACGGTGGTGGATCTTCGTATCGGTTTATTCTTAGCTGACCTTCCTGATGGAAACGCTTGGTTCCTCAGCTTGGGAGACCCTGCCACAATGCTGAATACCCCGTTGTACGTCGATGTCCGACACGCTGGAACACCTTCCACCCACGATAAGACGGTAAACCGTCGGGGGCACCTGTAACTTGACGACAAGTTGTAGAATGGCAACTATTCTCACAATTAGATGAGTAACCGGTCGTTTTTAAGCAAACATATACGTAGTAAAAATGGTATTTTTGAAAAAAAAACTTGTCAAAAGACCGGTGTTTTTGCAAGTGGGTTAGATTCCAAGGTATCGAGTAGTACGTACCGGACAATTCCTGAATTAGTTAAAATTGGTGCTTAAGAAGGTAACAAGGCTTCGTCACTCTATGTAGTGGGAAGAATTTGTCGCTTCACCAGAGTATCCTTCTGCTATTTTGAGGGTACGTATAAATTCGAAAGTTTGTACGTGAAGCATGTATGTAGTATGCTTCATGCGCTAGTACTAACATTCTGCTTATCGTTCGTAATAAAAGGAAAGGCTAATAGCACTTTCGTTCGCCACCGCAGACACCTGCGGTCTGGGATTTTGAAAATATCTCAGAACCATTGTGGTTGTATTTCGCATAATACCCTACCATAAAAAACTGTATTTGGCAGCAAAACAGCATCAGCTTAACTGGCTTTAATGCCGATTTGGGCTGCCCAGATCAATCCCGTCGACGGGTAATTGCTAATGGCATTGATCGATATAACTAGCTGATAGACAGGCGAAACGAAGGACCCGCATGGTGTGGTGGTGAACGCGTTAACCCCTGTATGGGGTAATAACCCGTTCGTTTCCTACCGCAGAAACCTGCGATCTGGAGCTTTGCAAATATCTCAGCACCATTCTGCTTATTGTTTGCCACTCTATTGTATCTGAAGGGTGTTACAAGGAACTTTATTATGACGTAGAATGGAGCTACATACATCCATTGTACAGGTTAGGAAGACGTTTACTTTCGTAGTCCAATCCTTTTTCATGTTGTGTGCGATCCTCAGAATGTATTGTTGTTGCGATCTTTATTTGATCCATTCTAGATTCTGTAATTGATGCAGAAATGGAGACCGATAGTGGTTTATCGTTTATGAACGTTGCAACGAGCACTCCTATCCGTTCTTATAGTGTTGGTGTTCTTTCTCCGGATTTTGACATTTCATATTTCATTCGATTATACAATGAATAAATGATGTGTATTACAGCCTAACAATCGTTTTACGTCCACTGGCCACCGTAATCGTAATCACATATCCGAGATGTTCCTCGCCAGCTCGGATGATGTTCCATCACCCATCACCTTCTCATCTGACCAACCAATGACGACTCCTGCTATGCTAGGAATAAAACGTTCAACGTACAGGTGCCTTTCTTTAGTGTAAGTAGTGCTAATTCTATCACCTATCGGAAATAAGTATTTTTGATTAAGTTGCCGAAATGTCTTGTCGGTGTAACGTAATTAGAGTCCCTTCAGTTGTTAATTCTGAGCTTTAAGGGGAAGTAATTCGAGCAGTCGCTCTCATGGAAGCAACAAAAAGTATAATTTCCAAGCCGCCAGCGTGGCAGTAAGGAAGGGTTTTTAAGACTACTGTTTTTATCAGTTGTTGATTTGTTTGAAAGGTTTCTTCACTTGTTATTATCCGCATTTTTTGTCCTTGCTTTTCCGATCTGCAGCTTTTAGTCGCGTTGGCTTACTTTCGAAAACTGTACCTTTTAGTTTCCGGTGCTCGTTAATGATGAGAAGAAATTCGTTATTTCTTTATCCGTTTATCTAATGTTTTTCAGTTGTATATTTTTAAAGAATGCACCTTGGAAATACTAGGCGGGATGTATTCTGGTCAATTTCATTTGAATTAAGTTTTCGATAAAATTGGTTATTACTACAAAAAGGATGGGCATTACACCATTTAGTTACTGAGTATTATGCCGTGCTACTTTGAACAGGACGTATGTGGCGCAGTGGTTGGAGGCGCCGCTGCGACACAAGTGGAATCGATCCCCGCACCCATGGCCCACCAAGCCTTCCATCCCTTCAGGGTCGGCAGTCCCTCAGGGATTGATCAACGCCGAGAGCTTTATCCTTTATCCTTTTACTTTGAACACAGAATTTCATATTGTTGTAAGGGTGGGCAAGGTAAATATTCAGATGTTGTTTTTGACGTCTGCATGTATGAGATATGAGCTGCCCTGTAATACATATGGTCGCTGATTCGATCTCGCGCCTCAGGCTCACAAAGCTTCCCATCTTTCTGGGTTGAGCAGATTGGTACGAAATTTTAACAGGTGAATCGGTAGACTACTGTAGATCATTGTACTGGTCGAATATGCATTTCATCACGTCTATGATGCTTGACACAACCGAATATATGGTGCAAGGGTTGTTCAACGCCGAACGCCGCGTCCTTCCTATCTTCCGTACTTTAAACAGGAAATCTTATCTTCCTTTTTCACATAGGTATTCTACAACGTTCTGAATGATGAGTTTACATACTTTTTGTTAAAGATGAAGGGCTATGTAATACCTTAGCAAACAACTAGTCTATCGCATAAGGTTCATTAGAATGATGACGTATTTTTAACACAACGCACGAAAGTCACGACATCTGGTAGTTTTATGTAGTGGATAGAATATATCGCCTCATAAGAGAGTTTATCGCAATAGTTTTGGAAATCCTACAAATTTGCAACAGTCAATTTATCGTTGAAGTGGATAGTATTCCTGCACACGGTAAAGCTAATCGTCCTACTGGCTTCCCTTGTTGAGGGTGAATGACGTTCGTGGAATACCGCGATAAGTAGCTGGAATTGATAAGCTTCAGCAAGATTGGTCAGATGAGTGTAAATCACAGCCAAAAATTACCGCCATGCTGTGGAAAACCTAGATGCGAACTGGGAAACATTCCTCCGATCTTAACCTTTCCACTTACTGCCTATTCTCTTTTAGCGGCAGGGTATGTTGTGAAATATAACTTGTATAATGCTGAGATATGTGCAAAACTCCGGGCCGCAGGTGTCTGCGGTGAGGAATGAACGCGCTATTGCCTTTTCCGGGGAGTAATGCGTTCACCACCACACCATGCGGGTCCTTCGTTTCGCCTGTCTCTCAGCTAGTTCTATCGATCTTTTGCCATCAGCAATCACCCGTATAACTTATTGTATATTTCGCAACATACACAGCCGCTAAAAAAGAATAAGCAGTAAATAAAAGGGTTAAGATTTTGATTATAACTAAGCCTCAGCTTAACTGGGTTCAATGCCGATTTGGGCTCCCCAGGTCAATCCCGTTGACGGGTGATTGCTTATGGTAAAAGATCGGTAGAACTAGCTAAGACAGGCGAAACGAAAGACCCGCATGGTGTGGTGGTGAACGCATTACTCCCCGGAAAGGACAATAGCGCGTTCGTTCCCCACCGCAGACACCTGCAGTCCGGAGTTTTGCGAATATCTCAGCATTATACAAATTCCTCCGATCTTCATGGGTCGTCGAATGTCTGTAGACGTGACTTGAGAGCAGTTGGGAACGAGTTTCTGGAGACTTTAGGGAAGAGGTTTACCAAACCGGAAAAGTGCTATTTACGCGTAGAAAATGTTGGGGACTGGACAATTGAACAACAAATTGTTAAAATATTGAAAATGTTAGGTTTCAATGGGAAAAGTGCTTATCGATTTTCCTATTGTAAAATGCAGGAGAGGATGGAAAAGTTAGTGCCATTTGTAGACTCGTTTCCTTATTCCCACATATTTCCCGTGTTCACGAGCACCATGATGTTGAGTGAAATGGCACTAATTCAATTGCTTTCGTGTTCGAAAAACGAGCCTGGGTTCCAGTAAGCCTGAGCCCCATCGTGGTGGTAGAAAAAGTCAAAAATCTTAGGTATTCTAGCAGTCATCTCAATTAATAAAGTCCAATATGAGCAGTGATATTAAGGCTTGAATTAAGGCTTGAATCTACAAGGGAACATTATTTTTGCAACAAACGATTCCATATGAAGTCATGTCATCGCGTAAGCGACAAGTATTGGCGGTCGTGGGGAAGTGGAATACCTCAGCAGATCATGAACTTCGAATCAAAGACGTAGATCATGAACTACCGCAAACGATTTGGGTCTTCATGATTGCATGACGGTCTAAAGAAACACATGCTCCATACGTAGCATTTCTGAAAGATCACCGTGAAGACTATGCGATCATACCGAATAGAGGATTGGGACTAAAGAACTGATAACTCTCAATCAGATTAAAACGAAGTGGAAGTCTCATATGGCTCCTAGCAGCAGTCTTCTACCGCGCAATGTCTTTTTAAAAAACTTAACAACATCAGAAAGTTCGTAGGCGATGAAGCTTATACGCATTTTTAGAGCGTTAGGTTGCCGGCAGTACAGTCATGGTCTTTGGATGCTTACCGTGGAGCTGGCACACCAAGCTCAATTCCCCAACAGCCGCCGAATTAGTTCTGGTATTGTCTACCACTCGGCACATTTTTAGGTCACTGTAAGTCATTATTTAAGCCAAATACATTTCACTTCCGTTGTTATAAATAGGGTCGGATGGATGGCTCACCCCCTAGCAATTGCTTAATGTCGAGCGATTTATCCTCTATTCTTTACTATAAAGCTTCATCTACAGTGCACCGAAGCAATTTTCTCATCAAAACAGATGACGATTCCAAACCGTATGCGACCTGAGATGTTAACTTTCCAACTCTTTATTCAGTTATACCTCATAGAGGCGCCTGTAACGCAAGCAGCGTGTGTAGCGCAGTGGTCGGAGGCGCCGTGCAATACACATGGAATCTATCCCAGCGCCCCAAGTCCATGAAGCCCTCCTTCCCTACGGGTTCGAAAATTGGTACCAGACTTGTCTGAGAGGAGAGCAGCACTGGTTCGATACATCGGTAAGCCACCGTGAGTCACCGTAAAGGCCAGATATGGATTCAGTCACCTCCAACGATACTTAATGAAGTCAAGTGCATGCCGTATCCCTCAAGGATTAATCAACACCGAAAGTTTAATCCTTTATCCTTTCATCGCAAAGGGTCTCATCACCTGTAGAAAACTTTACTAATGCTCGAAAAACTAGTTTAAATGATACCTACATTTAACTACCTTAAAACGTTTATGGCAGTGACATAAGTAACGATATAAGCAAAGAAAGATGAAAAATGCCGAACTGCAAATTCGCCCGAGTTTTAGAATGTAGCGCGTTTAACTTTGAAAACTCTATAGCACAGGAGGAGGAGCTATGACAATTCGGGTAAAAAATTGGAATTGGGAGAATTATGGGAGAACACGAGCACTTCGATTTATAACGCCACAGAAAGCTGCAGTGAAAATTTTGGATTATTTCCTCAAAAGTTGAAGACGTTTATAATTTATTAATGCAGTACTTAACTCCCTACCAACGGTTTACCGCCTCATCGTGGATTGGAGGCGTTCCTGGGTGTACGGCTGCAATGTACACCGGAGGGATTTATCACCTTGGTGGGGTCTCCCGAGCTGAGGAGTTCGGCATTTCCATCAGGAAGCACAGCTAAGAGTAAATCAATACCAAGATTCACCACCGTCCTGGTATCAAATTATTCGCATGGTGGCAAATATCTCTCTGATCCACAATGGCGGCGACTGCCTGTGATGGTGACGAGCTGGAGCAGACTTTGGCCAGGCTAACCATCCTCGAGACTCCAGGGAACCACAATGGCTGAACCAGCAAAACTCGGAAAAATGGAGAATATGCTGGAGTCCTCACAACCAGTGAAGACGGACCATCCGAGTATCCAAGTATCCAAGTAAGCACTTCAATACATGACAGCACATTGAAGAATGCACGAACTGCCCACTATCGTCTGCGAACATTGCTTAAAATACGAATGAGATTAGGAGTTCGGTATTTACAACACTAATCCCGCCCAATACCACGAACTACTGCTGTCATGGCTGCATTTTCGTTACAAGGTGGCAAATCTCTCTCCAACCCACAAGATTCAGCACTTTCTTGTGGTGACCACTAGGAAGACCCACTGCATGGTTATCTCAAAACTTTTGGGAAAGAAAATCCTGCGCAATTAGAAAAGTATAGTTGAAATGGAAATTGTCCTGGGACCTTCATGATTCTTCGTAAAGACGGAGATTCAGATATCCAAGTACTTCTCTTTCAGCATAGAAGTCCACTTCAACGAAAATTGTATTATATGCCAAAAGATTTCAAATCATGAGCTATTTATAGCCGTAGCAACTTGAAGCAGTTTAAAAGATTATGGAGGTAAAACTCATTCGTTTTTGGTACTTGGAAGCGTACCGTAGGGAACGGCGCAGCAGCTATTAAATAATTTGATTTAGAATTAACAGCGATTTATCTCTACAGCAAGTGCACGTAAACGAATTCAGAGATATATCTCGTTACTCCTGTAAAGCCATACTGATACAACAGCAGTAATTACTGCATATTCTCCTTCCATGTCTGTGGCAGAAATCATCGGAAATTTGAGCGTTTGTGGCTTCTCAGCAAGGAATTCAAAGCTCGTTAGTCGCTAGGCAGCGTAGCGCTGCTCCAGCTAGAGTATAGTGCGCTGGGAGAGAAACAAACGCGACCTTCTGCTCTCCGAAAACACATCTGGATTCGGGGGATGTACTCACTATGTTTGTTTTTGTTTTCTGCCTTCTATAATTTTCATGGCAGGTTACTAAGCGAAATACAACCACAACGTTGCTGAGATATTTGCAAAACTCTGGACCGCAGGTGTCTATGGTGGGGAACGAACGCGCTATTATCCTTTCCGGGGAGTAACGCGTTCACCACCACACCATGCGGGTCCTTCGTTTCGCATGTCTCTCAGCTATTTCTATCGATCTTTTTGCCACAGCAATCATCCGTCAGGTGAACGCGTTACTCCCCGGAAAGGATAATAGCGCGTTCGTTCCCCACCATAGACACCTGCGGTCCAGAGTTTTGCAAATATCTCAGCAACGTTGTGGATGTACTCACTGTTTTTGTCGCGCCGATTTGACACGTACTTTTTATATTTACATGGAGATACTCATGTATGCGTGCATGTGTGGGTAAATTCTCGTAAATGCAGACCGTGACCAACCAATCATTTTCTTAAAAACTGCGATTAACTAAGTCGAAAATGTATGAAATGTGGATAGAAATGACCTCCAACGAATGAGTTCATTTTGTTGGAGACTGGCCGAGACCAAAAGCCATAGCTTCTTTGATGAGATCCGATGAATGGCAGTTCTTCGGAATATGCGATAACATGAATCTGGGGCTTTGGTATCCTAGCCAATGCGGTTTTGGTCATGAACTTTGTCGAAGCCGAACCGACTGAACCTAATGGTACTTTACAGTTGAGAAGCTGAAGATCAATAAAAACTTTAAAAGTCTTCGTTGTCTATGCCTCGACATCAGGTAGTTAAAACAACAATATATGGGGGTTAAAATTTCACGGAGAACGACCTAACAAATTCACCAAATTGATGTCTAGACCCATGAAATGAAATAGAATAAGCCTGTTGATTGGGCATGTGAATTTACCTCACCATGACAAACTTCCGTAGGAGAAACCGCACTCAACATTGGCCTAAGAGTTCCTCAACTGAGAGTATCTTAACGAGTTCATTATTGTTCGTCGAAAGTTCTCCTCAACCAAAGTCGCTCCTCCCAAAATTTTATACAAGATTAGTCCATCACCACCTTCGTGCAAGGTGCACTTTTTTGCAGACAGATAAGAAAGCCTCAAACTTCACGAAACCACATCTCAACGGCACTGTAAATTGGAATTCTTCAGATTATTAGGGGTGAGCAAGAAGCGAACGGCGTGAGAAGCTTAGAAGAGGATTGAGGATGCAGTGAGAACAAAGATACCCCATTCCATGTCCATCTTTTTGACCCTATGATTCTTCGTGCCTTAATGTGGTTTTCCCACTTACACCAAGATTGGAAATCCGAGACGCCGGAATACACGTCAAGGCTTCGCACTTAATCATCCGTTCTCGACGAAGCTGGTTTTTCATGATATTTGCTCGACCAAAGGATTATGTCAAGAATTCAGAATTAATCTCCCAACGACTGATAGCCTCACCTTGGCTGGGAGGTGTTCTTAGGTGTCAGGCTGCAATGTACAGTACAGCAGGCAGACTTATCCCTCCAGCAAGGGCTCGCTAGCTGAGAAAGTGGGGGACGTTTCCACCAGGAAATCCAGCTAAGAATACAACAGTACCAAGATCCACCACCTTCCTGGTATTAAACAAGTCGCATGGTGGCAAATTTCCTTCTGATCCACATTGGCGGTCACTGTCTTCGGTGGTGACGACCTGGGGCAGACTTTGGCTTGTCTAACCTCGGGACTCCAACGAACCACAATGGCTAAACCAGCAAAACTCCGAAACAATGGAAATTATGCTGCGGCCTGCACAGGCAGTGAAAACGGGACATCCAAGTATCCAAGTAAGTAGTTGCTAGAAATAATAAATGCACTAAAAGCTAAACTATGTGACATGATGGATTGTCCGGTGAAACAGAAATGATTGTCAATGGACAACCGGTATGAACAAAAACTGTCCACTGTAAAAGAGCGCTGACGGATGAGATTGCTCCATTCGAGTGGTGGTCAACTGAATTCGACTCGACACTATCACGAGGACTCACATCGGCGGAAACAGGAACTGTGGACAATTGACTCGGATCTCTCCAGCTCTGAGGAAGGCGAAGGCACCAAAACGTTAGCCTAATAAAGCATTTTACTAATCTCGTGTTAGTTTATCAATGGAGGAATACACGTCAAGTGCATATCAGGAAGAACTCAGGGCGAATAGGAGAATTCCTCAACGAAGCGCTAGAAAAGAAACATGATGTTCGCCGAGTCTTATCCAGCTATACCTTCTCCTACTTTCTAATAACTATATTATATGAGACCGCTATGACTGAAAAAAAACCCAGACAGAACCAGAAAACGATGGGTCCCATCCATTTTGTTGTACGGCGACGTTACTCGACCGACGGCTGAGAATGGGCCCATAATTATCGACCACACAGTTTGTGCGCTCCACTGCCAGAAACGTCCTAGGCGAGCCAGAGGGAGGCGCTGAGATTTCCACATTCGTCGTCCAGTTATATCTTCCCCTACCCCCTATTGATCATACTATATGCGACCCTTACAAATGAAAAAAGCCTAGACAGAATAAGAAAACGATGGATCCCATTCATTTTGTTATACGGCGGCGTCACTTGACTGACGGCTAGAAATGGGCCTATGTATTAATGACTACGTAGTTTACGCGCTCCAGTGCCAAAAACTCGTCCTGGGCGAGCTAGGGTGGAGGGGAGCGCGAAGATTCCCGCATTACTCGTTTAGCGCTGGTACTTACTTGATACTTGAACGGCTCGTACTCCCTAGTTGTGAGGGCCCAGCATAATCACCATTTTTCAGAGATTTCCTGGTTAAGCCATTGTGGTTCTCTGGAATCCCGGGGACAGCCTAGCCAAAGTGTGCACCAGGGCGTGACCACGGCAGGCAGTCGCAGCACTTGTGGATCAGAGGGAGATTTGTCACCATGGGACTTTGATACCAGGACGATGGTGGATCCTGGGATTGGTTTACTTATAGCTAGGCTTCCTGATGGAAACGCCGGACTTCTTTTTAGCATAGTAGACCATGCTGGCGGGACGAATTCCCCCGCTGTACATCGCAGTCCGACACCCACGAACACCTTCCAGCCACGATGAGGCGGTAAACCATTGGGAGGGTTTAACGCTGATAATGTTGTTAAATCGGGGCTTCCTACTTCAAGTGTCATCCAGTTAATGAGAGACCATGTATTCTGCTATGCGCACACGATCTTATGTCATTGTTTCCGAACTGGTACAAGGCTTGTAATAGGCGTGTACTGTGCTCGGTCCTACAAGTACTGTATAGTTCTGCATATTCGTAACCATTTTCACTCAACATTTTGGTGTGTACTGCTCATAAAAAGAGATAGTTTGCAGTTAGGCTGGACTCCTTTGTAGGCACGACCTGAGGTGATAAGAAGTTCATCCGAACAGCTACATTGCCATTCTATGAGCTGTGATTTTCTAATAAGATGAGGAAGCTTGCCATTCCCAAGTACTTTGGTCGTCCTTCCATCGGTTTGGCTTTGTTTGGCTGCGCAAATCGTCCATTCTACCACGTGTGCGTTTTTCCTGACAGAGCACTCGGACGGAGGTACGAGGGCAACATCATTGAACAGGTGAGCTAAAGTTCTTGTTTTCCTATGCTTCATTTGATGCATTACGGTTTAGTTGGGAACATTTGATCCTCTTCCGAATTCAAGAAACGAGAAATTAGTGTCGCTCAACTTTGGTCGACTGAAGTACTGGATCGGTGAGCGCGACGCTCATATATCTGTCCCTGTTTTGGAGCTTCTTGGTACGTTTATTACTCTTCTGTTTTAAAAATGTCTTCGGTTGAATTTGTCTTGTGCAGTACACTACAATACACAAGATGACAGCTAACAACCGTTAGATAAATACATGTACATCCATTCTTATTCTTATTTGAAAAGATCCTGTGTAGCGTAATGGTCGGGGCGCTCTGCAGTACATATGGGATCGATCCTCGCACGCCAGGCTCACTAAGCCTTCCATCCCTCCAGAGTCGGTAGATTGGTGCCAGACTTGTCTGGGAGGATCGCAACACTGGCTCGATGCATCGGTAGGCCACCGCGAGTCATTGTAAAGGCCAGATATGCATTCAGTCGCCTCTAAAGGATGCTCTATAAAGTCGAATGTTTGACGCATCCCTCAGAGATTGATCAAACCCAGGAGCTTTGTCCCTTTTTTTACGTCCATTCTTGTTGTGGAGCTGCTCGAAATAAAGTTTGCCTTACCAGCAATACATTCTTTGTGGTAGTGAATTTCAACGCATGCGGTCTAAGAAGTGGTTGCACTAGTTAACTTTAACTGGATCTGTTGTTGTAGTAAATTCTACCAATTCCATGAGAAGAAAACCAGCAGCTTTCTTTCTCAGATTATTAGAATTCTGTATTTCTTTTTTTGGAATTCGTGCTACTTTCTTTTTTGGCTTTTTTGTCGAGAACAGTATTTCGAGCCAAAAAACCGCCGAACGGTCGGGATTTCGTAGAACGGATGATGACGGTGTCATCTAATGGTAATGGCTGTCGGTGATAGTTTTGAATTTGTAGTTTTAATTTTCGGATGGGTGTGAATTTGAGTTTCGAACATTTTGGAATTACAACCACTACGTTACTGAGATATTTGCAAAACTCTGGACCGCAAACTCTGGACCGAACGCGCTATTGTCCTTTCGTTCCCCACCATCGACACATGCGGTCCAGAGTTTTGCAAATATCTCAGCAACGTTGTGGTTGTATTTCGCTTAGTACCCTGCCGCGACATTATAGTAGGCAGAAAACAAAAAGGTATAACATTTTGGAATTAGTTTTTTTTTTTAGAGAACTTAAATACTTAGAGACTTATTTGTGAACTTTCATGAGATTATCAAGGCCTCAGGTACCCAAGTACCTTACTTTTCTGCAAAATACCGGTAGTTCTCCAAAATCCAGCTTAGTTACGAATGTTTTAGTTTATTTTATTTTAGAAAGTATAGCTGTGTTGACTCTAGTGATGACACATTCGAATAAGGTGAAGCTGAAGTTCCGGTAGTGATTTTTGTAGGTCTCTCAGGATTATTTCCCATACATCCGAAAACCTTCGTAAGAGCGAGACACAATAGAGAATCCACATCGGTGACGTCCGAATCAAGGACAACTGGAAGTCTTGAGGAAGAGAAGGTTTGACTAAGTGTCATTTAATCTTTATATTTGTGCAAGACCATTTATTCATTTAAATATTTTATTAACTTTTTCGTTTCAGGCTCCTGGCGGGGATCAATTGTTATAAATATGTCCTCTCGTTACATATTTGTATATTCTAATTATTTTTTCTTGGTTTCGCTTATTTCTGTGCAGATATCAATTTCTGACCGATGCTATGATAATATAAAAATTAATTTTGATGACCATCTTCTTAGCTATGAATCCGTGTACCGTGTTATTGAGACTTCTAAGAAATGCATAGAGAATTACGAACTGCTTTCTCCACAAGGTACGATTTAATCTGTCCAAAACTTCCTCTGTAGTAAAACTGACAAAAACGAAGGACTCGCATGGTGTGGTGGTGAACGCATTAGCCTCCCGTAAGGCTAATAACGCGTTCGCTCCCCTCCGCAGACAGTTTAGTTCCAGATATCTCTTATTATAACTAAACGAAAATACGTTTCAGACGCTGTTTATGAGCCTTCTCTCTGTCGCGCAGGTTTACTACAAGTTGATGTTGGTCCTGTTGTTCGGCTTGATAACACGAATTTGTATGTCGCTTCTCTCCATTGTCATCTTTATGTAACCTCTTGTGAAAATGCTCAGGAGTTATTTTTACTGAGTTTATTAATGTATTTTTATTTGTTCTAGGTTGCCGCACATTGAATTGAATATATCCGTTGCTGTTTATGAACAAGTGGATTCGGTCACAATTCGTTTGCAATGTTTGTATGCTCCTGACGCTGAGGATATCTACTGTCATGATGTTCTACGGATGATGGATGGAAGTCAGTGGTTATGGCCGTGTAGATCTATTGTTTTCAGCAAGCGTGTTACTTTGGTAAGCTTACTAATTGATTAGTTTGATACTTTCGTAGTGGTCACCTTTTTCTATAGTTCTAACTTCCCATGTTGCCATTTCAGCTTCCGTTTTATTTCGGTTATTCATGTTTTCGTATGTTCGGTCTCTCTCAATATATGATAAACGTGACAGTATATCCTCAAAATTGCAGGTTTGTTTAGTTGTTCTTCTTACTTATCGGTTTCACGGCTGGGAGGTGTTCCTGGGTGTCGGGCTGCGATGTATGCGAGAGTATTCGTACCCCCACTCCCAACAAGGTCTCTCTCGCTGGGAAGGAGTCCGGTTTTTCCATTAGGAAGCCTAGCTAGGAATAAACCAATACTGGGATCCATCACCGTCCTTGTACCAATTTGGTCTCATGTTGGCAACTCTCCCTCTGATTCACAAGAGCGGCAACTGTCTCTGGTGGTGACTACCCGAGGCTGACTTTTGCTAGGCTGTCCTGGGGACTCCAGGGATCCACAACAGCTAAAGAGCAGAACTCTAAGAAAATCGAACTTATGCTGGGGTCCGCACAACCAGTGAAAACGGACCATCCAAGTATCCAAGTAAATATTTATTATCTTTTCTAGGAGCTTTTAAGTTATTAAGTGAGTCAGATTATTTCAGATCCACTTTATTAGTTACTTCACCTACGGAGCCTCAGTTATCACCTGATATTGCAATGTATTATTCGGATACGGTGACTTTTACTTCTTGATGTTAAATTGCATTTATGATAGATTTTATTTTCCTGCGGAACTGTTGTGGAGAAATGAGTTTGTTTTAGAATACGTCGGATCTGGATTGGTCTCCACTATTAATTGTTGACCTTAGCGAACACGATGGAGTTTGGTTGCGCGTTGAAAGACCACCTCCATACTATGGTTGCTTTTACGGCTCGATTTATTTATGCTAACAAATTTTTCCTATTACAGCTAGAATAGTCACTATATCTGTATTTGAACGTCACAATGACGGTGTTCTTCGTTCACTTCAGACAGTCAGTATTGTTCACCCATCCACCGGCTTCAAAGTGAGTCCTCGTTAGACCCTTAAAGGGCTGTTTCACTCCGCTATAATGGGCACTTTATTCTCTCGGCATGCTGCTCAGTTTTAGTGGCGAAATGTTGCGAAAGGAGAGTATGTTGCTTATGCCCACATTCCAAGGCATGACTGCGTGCTCATTTGTGAAGAGTTCCCCTCCACTCCTGTCCCTTGTCGGGCATGTAAATACACTGTTATTAATTTTACCGTGACAACTGATCGGGCCAGTATATCATGGATGAGACTGCGTAGAATGCGTGACTCAAGCCCGTCGATACTATTCGCCTTGGCTTGTAAGTATTGCCACATTTCTTTTTGATCTTATGTTTTTATTTTCTGCTCTTGTTCTGTTTTCATATTTCACCTTGCATTGTAGGTGTGGTGGTTGCTTTTGCTTTATGTGGGATCATCTACCTTTTGATCTTGCGGCGCCGTGTGCGGCAATCTCCAGTGCAAGTACAAGAAATGGAACTTCATGAGAAACCACTTGTTCTTCTACTTACGCCGGATGACTGTTCGCAACATTCAGCTGTGGTCCTTCTTCTTGGTCGCCTTCTTGAAAAGCATCTGGGAGTCACTGTGCTTCTGGACTATCGTGAGATGAGCAATTCTGGTGAGTGCTACTATTTCCGGTATTACTTTGAGAAGGAGAATTAAAGTACTAGATAGCTTGAGTTATTTATTCCTACTAGATTTTTGTGATGGTGTCGACCGTCGAATCTGTTTCCAGTTCTTGGACCACCCACCAGACACCATGGTCATTCCTGGCACCTTAAAAATAAATGCAGTATGACGACATTCTCGCGAGCATCTGCATCTGTCGCCGTAAAATGACGGTGTTGACCGTCGAGTCTACCTCCAGTTCTCCGACTTCTCCCAAAGGTTTACCAGCCTCATCATGGCTGGGAGATGTTACTGGGTATCGGGCTGCGATGTACAATGGTGGGATTCGTTCCTTCAGCATGGTTTCGCCAACTGAAGAAGCCGGCGTCCCCACTAGGAAGTCCAACTAAGAGTAAACCAGTACCAGGATTCACCACAGTCCTGGTATCAAACTAGTCACATGAAGACAAATCTCCCTCTGATTCACAAGGGCGACGACTGCCTGTGGTGGTGGCGACTTGGGACAGATTTTGGCTAGGCTGACCTCGGGACTTCACGGAATCACAATAGCTAAACCTGCAAAGTTCCGAAAAATTGAGATTAAGCTGGGCTCACACAACCAGTGAGCACAGGCGATTCAAGTATCCAAGTATTAGATTTTTTGGCGCAATTTATATGTGATCCGTTATTCTAATCGAGATGAAATTTGTTAGTGTTTGTGGTCCATTTTTCTTTCCATAAAGAGGAAAAGATTTCCTAAGGTATTGAATTAAACATTTGAGTTGTGTGTATGTTCTAAATGAAGCTTTTATTATGTTTAAGCATTTTAGCTATGCTTGAATGAACAGTGAAAACGAAATAGGGCGCTGAATGTTGTCGGTTAACCTTGGTTCTCTTTCCTAATCTTCCTTTGTTTTAGTTATACGTCCTTATAACTGGATAGTGGATTCGCTCTGTCGTGCTTCACATGTGCTTATAATCATATCTCCGTGTTCTGAGTTAGTGCTTAATGGACAACATCTACGACAACGTCGTCCATTCCCGGATCTTTTCGTCCCGGCGATTAGTATGATTATACGGGTTCATATTTCGAAATCCTTCTCTTTCAAATTAAAGGTAAAACATTATTCGTTTCAAGGAGTACGCAAAATCTACTTCATCCAGCAAGTACATCGTTTGTCGACTTCCATATTCTCCACCTACTTGTAGTCAGTTGAGCATACTAGGATTTCCTGAAGTTGAAAGTGAGCTTTTTGCTCCTATCTCTCATTTAATTTAATCTTTAGCGTGCTACCAATATATGCAGAATTTTAAAACTTTTTACTATCAGACGTTTACTTGCATTTTAATGATCTTCCTGTATTGCTTAGCATATACGAATGAGCTAGTGATTTCAATACATGCTTGCCTAGAAACAATTTGAGCTTCAGACATAGACAAAACGTTGACCTGGTCTTTCACCATGCGCGATCTACGATTAAACATCCGAATGTTTTTCGTGAACTTTTAAGAGTGGAGCATAGCTATTTCCAGGACAACTGTTAACCTCAGCATTGTTCGATATGTCCGCGTTTTCTTTTTGAGACGAGGTTACGAGGTTGCTAATAATAATAGTTGTTAATGTTTAATAACAAGTTTTATTCATTACAATATTGGGAATGAATGTGGGGAGGACAAGGTCATTGCGACCTGCTCAACGAAACGTCGCCGTAGCCTCAGCAGATGGGCCACAAAACTTAAATTTCAGTCGCATAATAAAAACATCTTCTTCACATACACAGTCATCGTTTTCTGTTTTCACCTAGAATTCCACGTGGAGACCAGCCGTACAGAGTTGATATGGATGAGTAATGAGCCACTCTCACACTAAAATATCAGTCAGATATTGTATGAGAATTCTTGAGATAATGAGACATTCCTCGCTGTGGTTCATTTTTGGATTCTTCATATTCATCCTGAATACATTGGGCGTTTTACGCGTCGATTTCAAAGTTTTCTCCATTATTTCTCTATGTCCCGTGCACGCCTAGTGGAGTACTTGGTTTAACTTTAAATTTGCCGACTAGATGTTTTTTAAGCTTGCTTCAAAATGGTCTACCCACTTCTGAAAAGGGAAATCACAGAAGGGCGTTGGTGAGAAACATCTTTCAAACAGCCACCAGCTAAGCCTAAGAACAAGGAAATGGCAGTTCCTCGAGATAGGTTTAGCTGAAGAACCGTCCTTCCTTCTTTTCTAAACGATAACCCTAGCGAGAATAATAATAAGGTCCCGTTCAATTACTTTTTATTTCCAGCCCAGTACACAGCTATAAGAGGTTGTTTATAAAGGGCTGTTCTAGAGAAATCGGTAGCAGTGATTGAATTACCAGCACAAACTCTGAGATGCCGACTAGTTCGTAACCCTTTGTGCGTCCATCTATACAAAACGCAAAAATGCATAATTTGCAGCGCGGTAGAGACGGTGACTGCATGAGTACGCGTACGGTGTGCCTGAGTAAAGCTTCTGGGAAGAATATATTGACGAAACGCGTAGACTAGTTTGTATCCATGTTAAAGAACACCTAGATTGGAAATGTAAGGTTGAACAAAATGCTCCACTGGGTGCTCATAGGGCACATACTCAGTGGGGAAGATTTGGAAGAAAAAGTTACTGTCCTCGCACAAGAATCTAATACATCAGCGGGTAAGATCTTCGAAGCGTTCTGGCTACATATCAAGAATCAAGAAATTAAGTACAGAGAGGAATGCCTGGTCATCGCGCGTGATCTCACACGATATCTCAGAGTGATATTTTAACATGAGAGAGGCTTGTTACACATCCATGTGGCTTCTGTAAGTTGGTCTCTACATACTCAATTGTTGACTCGTAGAAAGCGGTGAGTGTGCGAAGGAGTTGCTTTATCTCCAGTTCGGCTGAAATCGAGGTTTCGTGGTGTTTCTGTTGGGGTTATGGTGGTGTATGGCTGACTAGACTGTGGTGCACTTGACGCTTCCACGCTCTGAAGAAGGCGAAATCCGCTGAAACGTCAGCCAGTATTATAGTGAATAAGCCTTATTATTCATAAGCTTTTGTCGGTTGAAGAAAATACACTGAGTTCTTGTAAAATAGCTTACCAAGGACTCTCTGCGCTGGCTGAGCTGTCGATGTATTGGAAATACTATAGCTAATGGGTTCTTTGTAGCAAAATGTGCGATCAAAAGGCATATGCACTGAGACGAAAGCATATGTTCCACTTTGCCTGCCTACACATGCATTAATTTAGATGGTTGTGGTCACTTATGTGCTAAATAAGCGCACCGTGCCTCATTTTTGTGTTTTTTTTTTGTAACACCAGCAGATTTATTGTAAAAACCAATACCAACACGACTCATGTTTCCTTATTGTGAAGTGAATAAAAGCTCTCGGCGTTGGTCATTCTCCCTGAGGAATGCGCCATCTATTAGACTTCGTTAAGTATCGTTGGAGGTGATTGGATGCATATCTGGCCTTTAAAATGAGTAGCGGTGGCCTATCGATGTATCGAGCAAGTGCTGCTATCCTCTCAAACAAGTCTGGTACAAATTTGTCGACCCTGGAGGGATGGAAGACTTGGTGAACTACAGACGTGCGATCGATCCAATGTATGTGCTACAGGGCGCCTCCGACCACTGCCCCACACACGTCCTCTTCCTTATTGTACATGAATATATTTTGTTATCAACAAATCGTTTTCTTTTCACCCAAGTTAGGAATTCGAATGGCGAAGCGATTTCCTAGCCGGGTTTCGTCCCACAGGAAGCAGCCATGAAGTTCTCGAATGCATCCTTTGTTGTTTACAGTTGCCTGCTTTGTTTGGCATTTATTGGAAGCCTATGTTTCTTCTCCAAATTGTTTATGGTTTGAACCTTTAGCAATTTCGAAATTAGAATAATACTATGGACACCCTAGAGCGATAAGGCAAATTCTGTTTTATATTCTTTTGTGAAGTTTTACTCTTCGAATGGCTTCTTTATTGAATAATCATCGGTAAATGTTGAGATATTGGTAATGTTGCGAATGTGTTTTTGACCAGTGAAATCATATGTTAACTTAAAATTTCAAACTGATTGGAACTTCTCACCTTGCTAAGCTTCTTCTAGTTCCTTCAAATTTCGCCAGTTTGACGGCATTAATTCATTCCGTCGATGCTGAACAATTACAAATTCCTACTGACTGTCCTATAATGGACGGGTTTATGCAAGCAGTTGCTTCTATGAAGAATTTGATGGAAACGAGCGAGCATTGGATTGAACAGCGACTTTTTAGTGAAGTATTGTTTTCGATCACATTGTTTTGTTTGGTTTTTTATTTACTCTATTTATTTATTCATAGCAGGGTGTTATGTGCAGTGCAACCACAAGGATGCTGAGATGTCATCAAAACTCGGAACCTCAATTGGGCTTCGAACCAGTTATTACATTTACGTGGAGCTCAAGTGTTAGCCATCACACCAACAGAGGCTCATAGCTGATGGGAAGACGATGTTACGATTTGATTGAGGTGGTTGATAGCACGTGAGCCCCAGCTAGGGGTACTCGCGGGTTCGAAACCCACTTGAGGATCCGAATTGTGCTCTTACCTCAGCGTTCTTGAGGTTATACTTTACATTACTTCGTATTATATGCAATGGAATGGGAAGGATTTTCGTTTCTATTAAGAATGTGGATGAAACGGTTAACCTCGTTGACGTGCCCATTGGACATGAACTCGTTCTACAAACGGATAAGAAAAGAACACAAGCAGCTGAAAAGTTTGGATTACTTCCCCCAGAAGATACTGAGGTTAATAAATGCTCCACTGTTTTATGCTCGCTTTCTGTAAACTAGATTTAGGGAGTGGAAAGGTCTGTGGAGTTTGATTTGTTGCCACCGGATCCATCAGATGAAGATTGAAATATGGAATTTAGTCAAGTCTGTATAGATCGAAGCACCGGTACAGAGTATCTCGAAATGCATTTTGTTTTTTTCATTCTACTAAATGTAATTATTTTGCAAACTTGAACTTGTCATGGGAATAAAGAATGCCTTAGAGTGTTTCCAATGCGTATGTTTTTATATGTTCGCTCAATACATTTACTTCCATTAACTTTTAAAGAACAAGAGCTAACGAGTAACTTTGTACCTGTTTCTATTTTTTAGTTCAACCTTATGCAAGGAAACGCAACGGACGGAATTCAGGATGAACCGAATAACGTCCGTAGGTTTTAAAGTTATTATTTTAAGGTTTTCATTTCTGAACGAAGCAAAGAGAAGAGGTTCAAGTAGGCTTAGAAGCATGGGTGTACATAGTTGCACCACTTGGTCATCCATTTTCTTCAGATTAGATAGGTTGATTGCACAATGTCATATTTATGTTTGAATATTACCACTCTTTGATTGATATTACTGAATCTTTTGTAATTAGTGGCTTAAAGACGACTTATAGCACACTGGATGATGGTTAAGGATGATTTGTGATGTACGTAGTCTTTGGTATATCCCATCTCGAAATTTAGTTAAACCTCTACTCATTGGAAATTAGCAATTTAGTACTAAAATTGTTTCGTAGGGTTAAAACAGTGACGTGATAGTTCGATAGTTCGCAACATCATTATGTCAGCCAAATATGCTTTCAGTCATACCTAGGATTCTTAATAGAATCTGATGCATTACGCCAAAACTTCTGTGGTGGTGAACACGTTAGCCCCGAAAAGGGTAATAGCTGGTGTGATTACCACCACAGGCACGTGCGGTCCGAAGTTTTGAGGATATCTCAGCATCACTGTGGTTGTATGACGCATTGTACCCTGCCGTGAAAAATTGTTACTAGTATAGATTGGTCCTCATGGATTGAAAATCTGTTTTTTCGATAATCCTCATGTAGTAATTATAATCGTAGGTTATTCTTACTGTTTTTAAGCTTTGATAAAAACAAGACAATGTGAAAAGAAGGCGAGACGCTGTCGTCGCATACTTCCCAAGTTTGGTACATTGGAGAGAATGGAGCTCATAAGAGAGGATGCAAAGAGGCGGATGAGAGAGGCTGCTTCTAGGCATACGTAAGCTTGTAGTGTATTGCCTTTAATTACATAGACGAAAATGTTTTTTCAGTTGCCCATTCTGTTCCTATTGTGCGCCGTTTCCAAGCAAAGTGAAACGTCACATTGTCAACAAACACAGCAGTCAGTTCCTTAGAATTGAGTAGCTTTTTTCTATGCAGGTCATAGTTTCATTACTGTTATTCAGAAGCGCATTCATGTTCTAAGTGTGACAGGCACTTTGACAACTTCTCTGAGCTTCGTATGCATGTCTCTGTCGAACATCCAAAAGTTCATCACTGTCAATTTTGCAGTTTTTCTCACAGGGTTTGTTTGAGTTAAAAGTGGAGTGGTCTTTTGGCTCTGCACAAGTTGATATATATCGTCTTAAAAATATAATGGAATAGATTTATGAATGTGTCGTTTTCTTATTCAGCAATCGCGAGGTTTTTAAACAGAATACATTTACTTCCATAGAAAAACACAATACAATACAACGCTAGCTGACGTTTCGGCAGTATCGCCTTCTTCAGAGCCTGGAAGGGTATACTGATATACAATCTACTAGGCCAAACGCTTCAATAAC